CGGCCGCGCTCGCAGGCTTCAAAATAAGGTTGGGCTTCAAAAAAAGCGCCTGACCCACCCCCCTCCTTGTCCCGTCGCGCCGGAGTCACTGCGTGGGAGCTAATTTGCCTTTTTAATTACGGCTTTACAAAGCGTAGGACCTCCATAGGATGCTTCCAAGCAGAAACGGCTAGAAGTGAAGTTTAAAATGAACAAAATTCACTGTTCTGTGTTAACTGAAGGGTGCTAAGACAGGCTCGCAGTAGGTGATGGGTGATGCTCCTGGTTTTGTCTTGTTTGTTTCCTTATCCACCGCGTTCACAGCTGAAGAAACTTCTTATGGTGACTGTGGAAGTTTCTGAGGTCAGTAAATTGTGGGAGAATATGAATTTTGGCTGGAAACTTTGTGAGCAAAACTGGAGGTGCATTTTGAAAGGTAGAACTTTTGTTCTTTGTAATGGTAAATAAAATATTTTCCTAAAATGAAGTCACTATGTTTACAAAATACCTCATTTAAAGAGCATTTCCTCTTCCTTCAGGGGAAAGGTCTATATGTTTGTACGCAAAGCCTTGATTTCAAGTTTCTAACTTCCTTTTTTCTTTCAATATGACTTGATGTTATTCAGTTTTGAATTTCAGCATGACAGTTATTAAAATTTATTTTGGAGACTTTGATTTTTTTTTTGAGAGCTTTTAATCTTAAAACATCAACAACAAGCTTGAAGAAATTTGAGACTGACTTGATAAAAGTCTAATGAGATCATCAAACTATTTTTTCCATCTGTATGAATAGATTGGTGGATGACTTCTGTAATTGTGTATGATTCATGACTTTCAAAAGAGAAACTTTTTCTACTCTGGTACTCTTACTGTGGCACTTCTGCTCTGCTTTTTTACTAATTAAATTGTGTATTTTTTGGGATGGAGGAGGTGCTATCAGGAAATTCATATTTTTTTTTTGAGAGTCGGGTAATAAAGTTGGTAATAGTGTTTTCGTAAGCTTCTACATTACATGTTTTTTAACGGTTAGGGCTAGCAAATGTTGCAGCTCTCTTATTTGTATATTAAAACAGTGTTAATATTTGTGGAAATAAGTCCAATTGTAGCAGTGCTCAGTGAGTGGAAGGCACAGCTCTGTGTTAAAGAAATGCAGTTTTCAGAAGGAAAAAAGTGCTGTGTGATAGTTTGTTGGTTAAAGCATGAGAAGGAAGGAGACTTGTAGAAGGAGGACTCTTGCCATGAACAGTAGGTTATTAGTGGTAGGTATGTGAAGTGGTAGGTGAGGAGGAATGGGGAGAGTTTGAAGCAGTTGAAGACAGTTTGTGTTGTCAGGTCAAAAAGAAGAGAAGGGAGGGAAGGAAAACATCTGAGGCACTCCATAGAAACCATAGAACATTCTTCATCTCCTAACTGAGGATTCAGTGACTAAACTGCAAATGTGAATCTAGTGGCCCTAATCCCTTAATACCTCTTTGGGAAAGGGTTTTGGTGGTATTACTGGCTTGCCCAGCAGCGTACGTAAAGCCTGTCAGCATCAGAGTTTATGTAAAATTATGCGCACAGTGACACTCGTCAAACCTGTTTCCCTTCCAGGTATTTGCCAGGTATTTTGAAAAACATATGTAGCGATAGCACTGTGAATGTGTTATTGACAAAGGTCCGTGTCACCAATGGTTCATAGATAACCTATTCCCAAAAGATCCTCTAATTCTTCTACTGCAGAGGTTCTCAAACTATGGCCTGAAGGAAAATGGCACACACAAAGGCCACATGAGCATCTTTATGTCTCTGTATGTCCATAACTGAGAGCTACTGTTGCTCCTAACAGCAGTGGCAATGCTAGGGAAGCAAACTAGATTTGTGCTAAGTTTAAAAACTATTTGACATAACTTTCATATTGTTTTGCAATAAAGATACTATCTGTACTATCTGTCTCTGTAGAAACATTTGTGAAGAAAGTGTCTGCTCAGACCTGCTGTGGAATAGGCGAGTTCTTGCATGACGAGTAACTGCCAAGTGACAGTTGTATAAAATTGTCAGTGTTAGAGAAGAGTAATATTGCGTGTTTGAAAAATAAAAATATTCCTGTTTTCCTGAAGTAAGTTGCTGTAGTAGTGATTATTTTGAGAATCTACTCCAGAGTCCAAGGGGTAATCATGCTTTTTGTGTAGATCACACCTTTGTGCTAGTAATTTAGCAGCAGCGGAGCTAATCTGTCCACCAGTTCTAGCTTCGTTTTGGTGGCATTTCAAATATGGATTTCCTTATCTTTAAGGATTGTTTTTTGAAATCATAGGGCCTATAGTTCTGGATTCTGAAGTTGTTAGCTTTCTTAAAAGGTGAAGAGGTTACCATACTACAGTAGTGTTCATGCAACTGAGCAATGTATATCCTATATTATATTAATGTGTTCTGACAGTCTCAATTTGGGAACAAATTTGAATTGAGGTTAAGTTTTTTATCTTTCAATTTTTGGCCAATGGTAACTTAATAAACAAGATATTACTATCACTTAGGCAGAAGTGATTGTTAATTTCTGCCTAACTGGAGGAGTGCTTTGTTTTAATAAGTCTTACTGTTTCATTCTGGAGTTAAAATGGTTTGAGCCCTACTTAGGATTGAGCATTAGTTTACTGTTGGGGTTGCTATGAACTCATCAGTTTTTCATTTGCTCAGTGAAAACTTCTAAGTTAAGTGGCTAGAGAGAAATTCTGCCATCCTGAGGTTCAAAGTCAGTTGATTCCAACTACCTGCTGATGGAAAGTTGCTATGCTTTTGTATCAGAAACCTAGACCCAGGTCATCAAATGAGTGCTCTTCATGGGTTCCAGGTTTGTGTAGGGTGAGCTACTTTTGCACCTTTAGAATTGCTTTAGGGCCACTTGATGTGCCGGTGACTGCACTGTGCGTTGTGTGCAGGGAACACCTACCTTTGCTTTCCTAGACCAAGTGAAATCTCTTTGAAACTGATTATTTGAACTTAAAACCGATCATAAAAGGAAGAACAATAGTGCTATCCAACGCATTCTTGTTGATGAGAACTTGAAAAGGAAGTAGATTTATTGGACGTGAACTTTCTCATGAACAGTAGGATATTAATGCTGAATACCTGGAGTGACAGCTGAAAAGGAACATTGAGCGTTGTGTTTATGAGCAGCAGAGGAAATAACTGGAAATCAGTTTCTTAAATAATCCTGCTTAATAGTAAGTTTTTAAAATTGGTTTTCTGCTGGAGGGTTTTGGTGGCTTTTTAAACAGTTTTTTGTGCCTGTCTTTTTGAGGACTTCCCTCTGGTTAAATATTTCTAAAGTAAAAATAAGTTTGGCCACATCAGGGCTGATCAACTGACTTACAAGATGGCCTATGAAACGGAAGACTGGATTTTAGAATAACATATAGGTAGATAACTAGGCAATGACTTTATGTGATATTTTGATTCCTTTAGATATTGGAATAAATTCGTGAATCTTGGACTATGCTGTTAGATTGCTCCTAAGTGCTTAATGCTTCACTTCTAGCTGTGAATTCTTGTAGAAGATTGATAGCTCTGCCAACACTACTGTCCACAGTAGAAGATGGGTGGATTAATTTCAAGATGGAGGGTAAGTAAAATTGTGTAACAATATAATCATCTTTAGTCTAGAAGAAGGCAGTATGCAGGACGTGTTTCTTAATGCCTATTGGTTGACTGTTAATGCTGGTTGAATGTTAGTGCTAAACTTTTCCCATTAAAATGCCAGTTAAAAGTCCAGTAGTGAGACATAATGACCAAAAATATTCTCTAACAAATTCCTAAACTGTGAAACTGTGCGGCTGTCTCTTATTTCCTTTGTAGTACCAGGCCTTGCAGTGGTTTGGTTAACTTCTAAAAATGCAGTTTTAGCTCTTTCTGTAAATCTAAATAGTTCGGTGGTGCTTCATCAGGATAGATACAGCAGCATCTGTGACTTGAAAGATTGGTGCTTATTTTCAGTCAAAATGGATACATTCAGAATATCGTTCCATGGTCTGTTCTAACAAATATTTTGGTAGCTACTTACACCTATACAAATCTTTCCTCCTAACTGTTTTCATTGGTTTTTATGCTACTGAATGGTGTACTGAGTTCATGAGGAAGAGGTGTGAGGTTTTTTACTACTCTCCTGACAGGTGTGAGTTGTTCCAGTGTAGGTTTGCCTTTGCATATTATCAGTTGATTTCAGAGCCTCCCATGCAAAACTCCTTTGAAGGCAAAAAGATTAGGTGAAATGTCAGTTTTGTATAACAGAAGGAAACTCTCTTTCATGGTGCTGCAGTGTGGGCTATAGTTTTTGAATTTGTGGCCTGAAGGGTGGGGAAAGATAGTGGCCTTATACTTCTCAGAAATTAGGAGAGATTCCTGGAGGGTGGATTCCATGTTGCTGCTAAGGGGAATTTTACTGGAGATGATAAGTTATTTGTAGTTGCTTATAATTTATTTAGAGCATTTGTCTTTGTGAGGAATGAATAATAATAAGAAGCTTTTTAGCTTAAGCTATCAAGTTAGGGCTTCCTGTATATATTCTCTTTGTTTTGCCCATTTCCTCCACTCATTCCTTGTTTTGCTTCCCACCCACACATCTGTTATTGCTGTACATGTGTTATAGGTTTTTTCTTTTGTGGTGTAGTAGAGGAACCTTCAGTTAATGGTAATACTAGCTGTAAAATAGTGATTCATTACAGTGCTTTCTGTTTGTCACTATTAAAGTAGGCGAACTCCTTACCTTTATGTAAAATAGATCATATATTGATTATCATAGAATACCAGGTTGGAAGGGAAAACTCCTTACCTTTATGTAAAATAGATAATATATTAAGTGATTATCGTAGAATACCAGGTTGGAAGGGACCTTGAAGGTCATCTGGTCCAACCTTTCTTGGCAAAAGCATGGTCTAGACAAGATGGCCCAGCACCCTGTCCAGGTGAATTTTAAGTGTTCAATGTTGGGAATCCACCACTTCCCTGGGGAAATTATTCCAATGGCTGATTGTTCTCATT